CTTCAGCTCGGGTCATTGATCCCAGGGTCCTGGGATCGAGCCCCGCGTGGGGCTCCCTGCTCGGCGGGAAGCCTGCTTCTCCCTCTCCCACTCCCCCAGTTTGTGTTCTCTCTCTGTGTGTCTCTCCCTGTCAAATAAATAAAATCTAAAAAAAAAAAAAAATACTTGACTTCTTTCAAGTGGTCCGTTTTCAGCTGCGACGTGGAGAGAACTCAAACAACTTTCCACTTTGCCCACATCCCTCGCCCTTCCCTGAACTTCTTCCAGCATATCGGAGCTTCCACCACATCACATGGAACATGACCTTGCTTATTTACTAGACCCCAACTAGTCTTGATTTTGTCAACACACGACGCTAGAATAGTAGGTTGGCCATTTTTCCCAGTCAACAGTTTACAAACGCTAATGTAGCACCAGAAAGGAGTGTTCACCCTCAGAAGGAAAAATAAATGTTCCTTAACAAATACCTACCAAACTCCTCTTCTGTGCAAGGTGTTAGGGATAGAGGAGCTTACAGGCATTAGACAAATAATTGCACCAACTATTCCAGTTGTGATAAAGGCTGTAAAAAAGAAGCAGGTGGTATGAGAGTTTGTAGCAGGAGGACCACACCTACACTGTTGGGATCATGGAAGGCATCTGGAAGAAGAGAGCTGAAGCTGAGACGTGAAAGAAACATTAGGCATCAAGTGAGGAGGGGTGTGAGAAACTGGGAAGCCGGAACCTGCAAGCACCTGGTATAGTTCGGGCAGAGAAGGGAGTGTGCGGGGAGGTGATCTTGAAGCCGTGAGCAGGGGCCAGATCAAGCAAGGCCTCCCTCGGACTCACATTAAGGATTTTCAGCCTATATCTGAAGAGAGTTTTGAGCAGGGAAGTGACCTACATTTTCATATAGGATCACTTTGCTTGGCCCATGGAGAACGGACTGAAGGAAGGCAGGAAGGTATGTAGGTGGAAGAGAAAAGATATTATTGGAGCCTAGGAGAGAGAGGTTAACACCTGCTCACTGGACAACACTGAGGCATGAACAGATGTTAAAGACAGTGGGCTTCAAGGGGGGTTAGGTGTGTCAAGGGCAGGCAGGGATCGAAGATTATCCCAGATTTCTGGCATAAGAAATTCAGCGGGTACTGGTGATGCTTACTAAAGAAAGAAACCCTATAATTTGGAGGGGTTGTGTGATATGTTGATGGAGAGGTGCATGTGACGTACCCAAGTGGAGATGCCAAGGGACTTGGATAGATGGGTCTGGAGCTCAGAATGGTCTGAGCTGGAACTCTATTTAGTAGTATGTATTTGGGATAGGGATGGAAATGAAAGCCAGGGGTTTGGACAAGATCAGGAGCTTGGAGAAATTATGGTATTAGAAGAGGGTCTAGTACTGAGCACTGAAGAAATCTACCACTTAGGACTGGAGTGGAGGAAAGGATAAGGGAACTGACAAGACATAGGAGTGTGGTAGTGGGCTCCACTATGGCCACCAGTGATTCCCCACCACCTGGTCTTTACGTCCTGGGTAGTCTCCTCCCACATGGAACAGGGCTAACCTGTGTAGCCAATATGGCATTGTGCAAATGACAGTGCATGACTGAGGTTGTGGCTATAAAACCTTTTAAGATTTAAGAGAGACCTAAGGTGGTACCTAAAAATGTTCAAATAATAAAGCTTTTAAGAATCTTAAGGGTATTGTCCCTCAGCAGCCTGAGCAGAAGCCCAAGGTAGAGAAGGACTTATCTCAAAGAAATGTGTGGGTGTGGCTTTTGCATAATGGAGCGAACTGGAATAAGACTCCCAGGAGACACACAGTGTTCAGAAAAATTGTATTTGCAGTAACACCACCAGCTTGGGCTGAAAAGAGATACACTACAAAGTGTAAAGAGGTCTTTAGACCTCCCAAATTCTGCTGGGTGTCAGCAGGCTGAGAAAACGATGTCGCTGTAAACATGGGCTACCTTTAATGGAAAAGGAGACTCAGAGGATGGAACCAAGAGCCCAGCTTCCAAGATGGCCTCCAACATTCCCCCACCTTCTGGTATTCACACCTTTGGGTACTTCCTTCCCACACTGAATAGGACTGACCTGTGTAAACAGTATATTACGGAGTGACAGTTGTGATCTTTGAGGATAAATCATGAAAGACATTGTACCTTCCACCATGCTCTCTTGGATCACCCGCTCTGGGGGAAACCAGCTACCATGTCATGAAAACTTTCAAGCCGTCCAATGGAGATGCCTACACGGTGAGGAACTGAGCCTCCTGCCAACAGTCATGTGGACAAGCCATCCTGGATGTGGATCCTCCGGCTTCAGTCAGGCTTCCAGATGACCGCATTCCAGATATCACGAGATGACCCTCATGAGGAACCCTATGCAAGACCAACCCAGTTCAGCTGCACCCAAATGCCTGACCCATAGAAACTGGGACATAACGTTTGTTGTTTTAGGATCATATGTCTAAGAGTGATTTGTTAAGATATGTCTTAGGGTAATTTGTAGTAGATCTTGAGGTAGTACAATAGGTAATTAATACAAGGAGAAAGACCAAGAATGAGTTCATGAACAGCGAATGAACTATGTTTCAGTGGACAACAGTGTCAAATGTTGTGGCATAGCCAAATACCTCACACCTGGATGACAAGAGACCCCATATATCCACCCTGAATTTCATGTGGATCTCGATTGTGGAAAACAACAAAACCAATCAAAACCCCACTATACTAAGTATACTTGGTGTAAGAAAACTAAGAAGTATCTATTATTCTTTTGAAGGACTTCATTCAAAACATGTTTTGAAAGGCTGCGACGCCTCTCAATAACAGTAGGCAAGTGTTTTACTGAACTTACCCACTCTATCAGTGTCCTCGTGTGGACATGCCACACCATGTGGGTTTTACTGAACGTACCCACTCTATCAGTGTCCTCGTGTGGACACCCCACGCCATTGTGTTTTACTGAACATACCCACTCTATCAGTGTCCTCGTGTGGACACCCCACGCCATTGTGTTTTACTGAACATACCCACTCTATCAAGTATCCTTGTGTGGACACGCCATGCCATTGTGGGCTGTAAGGTGGCAGAGGGCAGAGGAACCTGCCCTACAGCACCTGTACTGTTGGGTATGCCATACGTGCTCATACAAGCAAAAGCTTAAGATAGGGGCACCTGGGTGGCTCAGTAGTTAAGCATCCAACTCTTGATTTCAGCTCAGGTCATGGTCTGAGTCGTGAGATCGAGCCCCGCATCAGGCTCCGTGCTGGGCGTGGAGCCTGCTTGGGATTACCTCGCTCCCTCTGCCCCTACCCCCCCCAACAACAAAAAAAATTAAGATAGAAGACTCCAAAAACATTTTACCAAAAATGAACACTACCACTACCTCATATTTATGTGGTAATTTATATATCAAAAGTACTTTCCCGACATCTTATTTTGTGCTCACAACAAACCCTGTGAGGTGGGTGGTGGGTTTGTAGAAAAGGCAAATACAAGTCATTCCTATTTCCCAAGTGAGGAAAGTAAGAGGCTTCAGTTACTGGATTAAAGCCACACAATATCTTCATGGTTGCAGGTGTTCTGGTATCAGGTTGAGCACTTTTTCCAAAATACCCAGGTAGCATTTACCAGGGAGTATTCATCTAGCTTCCTCTTTCTGCCAATAATCTCAACACAATTCTAATGTAACCTTCTGCAGCAATCTCTCTGCCTTGTGCTTGAATACTGTCTTTTCTGAAGCTGGAATCATGAAACGGGTAAAGATTCTCTGTCTTCTTTCCACTTTGGTTCCTGTGCAACAGGACACCTTGAATGCCTTCCACAGCAGGCCTCAAGGGTGGCTGGACAATACCTCCATTGTTCAAAACATTCTTCACTGGAAGTTGCCTTCTGAGAACCCAACTTCTTCCCAGAAGAAAACCAGTCTACTAGTTGAGAGTTATGTTTCATTTTTAAATGGCATCATTAGCTTGATCATCTTTCTCAATCAGATTTGTAGCTGTTTCCTAAACTTCAATCTAAGCGCAGAGACCAAAACTTTACAAACACTGCGTATATTCAAACATGCTTGTTACAGACTGAGGGCTTATCACAAAGACGTTCCAGAAAGGTTAGTGGCAACAGCACCCTCTGAACAGAATTCCCCTGACGAAGAAAACCCTCACAAGGAATATATAGCAACGATATTAATAAAAACAATGGCTTGTGTGTGTTGAGTGGCACTTTATATGTCTTGTCTAATTTAATCCTCAAAATAATCCTATGAGGTAAGACAAAGTTCTGTTTGTTTAAAACTCAAACGTTACCACGCGGTCACACATGGGTCATGCCCTTTTATCATAAAGGGCAAGAACTGATTCCTAAATCCTACAGGAATGAAGAGCTAATGCCTCTCAACAGCTACCATCTCCTCAGAGGGTTGGTCTGTAGGGATCTGACCCAATTTGGGGTTTTTCACACATTTTCAAGCCTGTTAGTGTTTTGCCATTCTCATATCAGTGCACATTTTAGTCTATTTTCAGTGGATGCAGAGTGTAGAGAACAGAAATAAGTACATTTTTGGCTCAGAGAAATTCAAGACATTTCCAATCTTCCTCAGTCTGGCTCCATGGCTCCAGTATGATTTCTATCATACCCATCTAAAGGAGGATACAAGAAATTACATTTCAACTTTGTCTTTGCTTCTTTTTTTCTCCTATCAGGATTAGTGCAAGAAGGTAAGAAATGAAGACTTAATCCAAGAATCTATTCTTAAGTAGCAATTTGAAGAGCCAAAATTTGCTACCAGATATCTATTTCCATCTATCTAGATATCTATCTATAGATATATTTAGATCTAGATAGACATTTTATGATTCATTGTTTGTGCGTAACACCCAGTGCTCCACGCAGAGCGTGCCCTCTTTAATACCCATCACCAGGCTAACCCATCCCCCCACCCCCCTCCCCTCTAGAACCCTGTTTGTTTTTCAGAGTCCATCGTCTCTCATGGTTCGTCTCTCCCTCTGATTTCCCCCCCTTCATGCTTCCCCTCCTGCCTAGACAGACATTTTAAACTCACAATTCTTGAAAACCATCTCAGCAAGTGTGTTCAGGTCCTTATTTCTAGTTCCCTCATAGTGACAGAACCACAAAAGCAGGCAGCCACGTGAGAACTGCTAGAGCCAAGAGTAAGGCCATCAGCCCATCCCCAACAAGACACTCAGAGTCATGATTCCCAGGACTTCTGCCATGACCATGGGCTTTAAACCATTCTACTACTTCCTGGAGGTCAAACGGCTGAGGCTCATAACCGAGCTCCTTCTGGGCCTTCTCTAGGCTAAAGTAATGTGTGACGCCAGTTTTGTAAACTTCTGTGCGGGTGAGGAAGGGCTGGAAGTTGTAGAGTTGACCTAAAATGAAGTGAACCATTTCTGTTAGGAAAGCAAAGCAGTAGATGAGGGTCAATGGCAGGCGGACAGATGGGAACGTGTAGCCTAGGCCCTCAACCAAAGGCCGGAAGAACTCAAAGTTGTTCACGGGCCTGCCATCTGAAATGAAGTAGGGCTGCCCAGAGGCAATGTGGCCCTTGTCAGCTTTCAGAGCCTCTGAGGCCAGAATGTGAGCCTGTACCAAGTTATCCACATGGACAAATTCAACCAGGCTCCTAGGATCTCCGTACACAAACTTGAACAGACCCCTCTCAATGTACCTCACTATCCTGGGAAGGTGCCTTTGTTCTCCAGGCCCATAGATACCAGCCGGGCGCAGAGCACAGGTTCTTAAGACACCATCACTTCTTACCAGGCTGGTACCATTGGCCTCCAGCACCTTCTTCTCTGCAATAGATTTGGTCCGAGAGTAGTGATCGGGATGGAGGTGAAGAGGTAGGTAAGGCAGAGACTCATCTCCATTTCTGATAACTTGACCTCCAAAGATGACATTGAAAGTGCTGGTGTAAACAAATCTTGGCACCCCTCTCCTCCTGCAAACCTGGAGGATATTGTCTGTGCCCCCCACATTGACTTCTTCAATCAGGCTCCGATTCAGCTGCTCCCGCCCTGACATGCCATAAGAGGCAATATGGAACACACACGTGACATCCACATCCTGGAAGGCGTTCTCCACGTCAGAGAGGTGGCGAATGTCTCCATGCATAAACTTGATCCCTTCTGGAATAGAATGAGCAGGGCTGCTGATGTCAAACAGAATCACATGGAATCCTTTCTGGTTCAGAGCACAGCCTAGGCTGAGATGAGAAGCAAGTTAGATCAAATCGCTAGTAAGCTATGCCTAAAGAAAAGTGCATAAATGTAGGGCTGATCCAAGCCTTCTAGGCTCATCCCGAGTCCCTTACTTTACATGTTCATTGGTGCAACTCTTACTTATGTACGTAAGTATGCAAATATTCAAAACTGAGGATCCACACGTCTACTCGAATTACACTGAGAGGTTTTATCTTCTAATACGGTGGCATCTACATGTTCCATTCCCCCCGCCCCCAGTTTATGAAACCACCACCCATTCTTTGGAATATTTACGAATAACAGAACTGCAAAAGAATAACTATTATTTCTAATGTTTTTGGTGATGTCAGTTATCTCCCTAATTTAATACCTTTACAAAGAATTTTTCTTAAAGTAGAATACATCTGTAGTTCTGAATTTCAGCATCTGAGCAGTGGGCAACCTAGTTCATTTCTGATTTGACACTACTCAAACAAGTAGAAACTGACACTAGATTAATGTCAGAGTTGAAGGCTCTGTTTTTTCCAGCAACTACCAGTAAAATAATTCCATGGACATGTGTGATTGAAGCACTGACCGGAAACCAAAATAGCCACCTCCTCCTGTAATGAGGACAGTTTCCTTTAGAGATTTTTGGAAGTCCATGTGTGACAGTCAAAAGATCACGGGATCTATAAGAAAGAAGTATGCAACACTGTTACTGATCCCTCAGAGGCTACTGCTGCAGCAAAAAGCAGGGGGCTGATAAGCTCCCAGGCTTATGAAGACCCAGCAAAATGCCCGACATAATGGGCACTCCATGAAGCCATTTCTCCAATTGCCTTTTCTTCAAGCTCTGGAGTCTGGGGATTGACTGATCTATTACATTTCCACATACCATGATTACACCTCTCAAACGTACAGGGTTGCACAAAGCCTGACAAGTTCTTCTGGATGAGTGTACTAATTACCTCAGATGGCCAGAAAAGCTAACCGGTCCATCATGCAGCGATCAGTTGGTGTGGCAGCTACTGAGGCTGTTTCTAAACACACTGGATGTCACTCCCTGATACTTCACCCCAGACTTCTTCCCTTCAGTATGTAGGTCTGCTTGAATGTCACTTGCTCAATCAGAGATGCTTCTCTGATCCCCGTAAAAGAGCTCCCCTTACCTTAAATACTGCTTTGTTTCTTCATGGTACATTTCGCTATATAAAATTATCTTTTTTTTTTTTTTTTTTTTTTTTTTTACTATTGCTCTCCTTCCAAGAGAACGTAAGTTCCATGAGAACTGAGACCTTCTGCCTCTTCCACTGACAGGTCTGTACCAGAACCTAGGACATGGCAGATGCTCAACAAATATTTGTTCAAATTATGGACGATTTTGAACACTGTGAAATACATCCAGTTCAGTAAAATTATGATGGGCACAAATGGCGCAGGGCTCTGCAGTGTGGAAGAGTCATTGTTATGTTTGGCAACGAACACTGCTACTTTCATTTAACTTCTCTTCTAAGAAATGCTGAGTTATGGAGTGAAAACAACACAAAACTAAATGAGACAGAATTCCTGCTTTCTGGAAATGATGACGGAGAGAGCCTTTTGCAAATATCTAAACTACAAAGCAAAAAGGAGAAAACAAGATTCCTGTCATATGTTGGTGTAAGCAAGGTGCTATGGGAGTGCCGAGGTGGTGTTGAGAGAAACTGATTCTGGAGGGTGTATTAGAGAAGACTTCACTGAGGCGTGAGTCAGGACAACAGGAAGATTCAGGTGGGCTGAGGCAAGGCAGAGGGTTACCACAGGCTGAGGGGACATCATTAATGAATGGAACAGCAACAGGAACGCTGTGTTGGGCAATTAATATGGTGAGTCCACTGTGGTTGGTATGCAAACTGAAGCCAAAACACGGAGCTGGTGATTGAGGTGGGAAAGATGGCCTAGGGGTGGCTTTCAGACACCTCTGAGTTCCTGGTGGGGAGTGTAGATTCTATTCTTTAGACAGTTGAAAGCCTTTGTAGGTTTACTGAACAGGCTTGCTCCCTTTGGTCCTTGCTAAGGGTCAAGCTTTCCCTGGAGGAGGGTGAGGCTGGAAACAGCCAAGAGTCTCAGTAAAGGGTGATGGGACTGGGCTAGAGGCTTATCTGTGAGGAAGAAATGCCAGTGTGCTGAGCCGGAAACAGGACAGGATCTGGTGAGCAACTGAGACCCCAGTGGGCAACGTCCAAGTGAAGAGTGTGCGGTCATTCACTGAAACAGCACACACAGGTTTTAGAAATGTTCCATTTGGTTAACAGACGTTCTATTCTGAGTAACAGGATGCCAGATAACAAAGTTTAAAATATTCTCAGTATCTCCACAAGAATTCCACGAGGAAGGGACACCTGGGCGGCTCAGTTGGTTAAGCAGCTGCCTTCGGCTCAGGTCATAATCCTGGAATCCCGGGATCGAGTCCCGCATCGGGCTCCCTGCTCAGCGGGGAGCCTGCTTCTCCCTCTGACCCTCCCCCTCTCATGCTCTCTCTCATTCTCTCTCTCAAATAAATAAATAATTAAAAAAAAAAGCATTCCACGAGGAGGGATTCAGAAAATGGACCGGGCCTCAGAGTCCAATTAGGAAAATTCCAACAGAAATTCTTCCTAATCTCTAATTATCCTTTGATTTTAAAATTGCACATTCCAGCGCAGTCACAGGACCACAAGTCAGCCATGGTTCATGTGCACATTAGTCATGCTGGGAATGTACAAGTTCAAATTATTAACACATCAGAGTACCTGCCAGGCCTATTCATGCTACTCCTTATTACTTTCCAACTAATTCCACAATGATCTGAAGCAAGAATTTATATAACTGACCCGATCAGGAGGGTCAGAGGAGAAAGATGGCAATGAGTAAGGAAAAAATAATGATTTAGCAAGAAAACAGCGTGGAAACGAAGCCTATCCACCAGGTGGGTAAAACCTTCACATGGCTCACCAGGAGCCAAGGCCTCCCTTCCTGGTTCCCCACATCAATAAGCATAGAGGAAACGCAGTAGACACATTTCTCAGGAAATTGCAAGAAACTCCCAAGAACACTAAGCCAGAAGGGAGAAGAGTAGATACAGTTTTTCCTCAACCAGCTGCCTGATCTTTACACTTTATGGCTTCTCTTTTTATTAATTAGTTACCATCTGATTCCTTCTGGGGCTGGGCACTCAATCTCAACTGCTTTAAGGTTTTTTCAAAACCCGGCTTAGTAATTGCTTTCCCCTGGGCGGAGGGTGAACGGTCACATCTGACCTGAGCAGTCACTCTAGTGGATATGTGTTAAAGTTAAGTGCATGAGGCAGAAAAAGGAATCTTAATTACAAACAAGAAAAAACGAAATTTAGATCCGCCTGACCTCTTGATAATACTAAGATAAAAGTGAGGGTAATAAAGTTGGTATCTCACAGGGAAGTTATGAGAAAACTCATAAAAATGACTATGGGTACTTTAAATTTACAAAGCCCTAATTAAAATGCTAAGGATCAGTAAAAAAGAACCTTAGATTACGCACACAGTTCCTTCATCCCCTGAGTTCAAGATGACACTAGTAACCCTCGGGTATAATGCAATATACAAATCTAGGTGCCACTGGAGTCCAGAACAGATAGGAGAATTGAAGACTGCTTTCATAAAAATAAAATTTTACTATGTTTGCTTCAAGGAAGATAAAAACAGCTCCAAGTCGTTTAACTCTGTGGTGGTATGTTTTAAATTACTGCCCAAGTACTACCTAGAGGCAAAAGGTAACTGTGTTCTTACTGTATTGAGATCAGGAAAATACATCGAGGCTAGACGGTTTAGAAATGGTGCTGTTCAAATTCCATGCATGATCTGAAAATTATTTGTGCTTAATACAAAGCAGTCAAAGCAATAAAGACGAAGTCAGTAAAGATGATAAGGGGAGTAACCCTGATAACAGGTAAAAGGGATGTAAGGTATACAAACTAAAAGGCCAGACACATTTGGGAAGAAAATTAGCTGAGGGCATAGCATTAAGTGGAAAGTCGACATACTCCAGGGGGTAACATCGTGGTTACCAGGGGCTGGGGGCTAGGCGAAATGAGATGTCGGTCAAAGGGTACACATTTCCAGTAATAAGGCAGAATGAGTTCTGGGGATCTAATACGCAGCAGTATACCTGACTACAGTCAACAATACCTTACCATGTACTTGAAAGTTGCCAAGACTAGATCTTTAGTGCTCTCAGCATACACACAAAAAACTAATTATGTGAGGTGCCTGAGATGTTAACAAACCTTACTGTGGTTACCACTTCACAGTACAACAAATCATCACATTGTACACCTTAAAACTACAGTGTTATGTCAATTATCTCAATTAGCAGGAAGAAAAACAAAATCTTAAATTCCGCACCCAGAACTGGTTGTAAGTGGCTGAGCTAGACCCAGGGCTTGAAGCCAGATGTGCAGCACTCCCAAGCCTGGGCCCTTTTTAAGATTTATTTATTTCAGAGAGAGAGGGGGGTAGGGAGAGAGATGGCGCTCAGTGCGGAGGGGCATAGGAAGACGGAGAGAGAAACTCAAGCACATTCTGCACTGATTTCAGAACTCACGTGGGGCTCCATCTCACGACCCTGATCTGGCCTGAGGTGAGACCGAGTCCAAACGTGTTGCATGGAGCACTGGGTGTTATGCGCAAACGGTGAATCATGGTTACTAACATAACACAATTAAATTAAAAAAAAAAAAGTCAAAACTAAGGTCGTAGTAAAGTGGAAAAAAAAAAAGTCCAAAAGGACTGCGCTACCCAGGCGTCCTCCCCACCCCCCAAGGCTGGGCTCTTAACCAGGCGAGTCGCCCCCCACATGGGGTTGGGACAGTGCACTGTTTACTTACCACCTTTACAATTTCTGTCACACCTGGTACCTCCGCTACCTATTATGTTTGTTTAAACCTATTTACCTTTTTACAAGAAATACATTCATTTTAAGTGCGACCTTCACATTCCCACTTTAAATGGGAAATCAGAATCATTTGTCGTAAGGGAAGGTAGTATTTCCAGGAACTGTGAGATGAAAACAAATGATCAAGTCTAGCCAGATAGAGATGCCTGATGAAAACTCTGAGCTTGGGGTCGGCTCTTTAAAAAACAAAACAAAACAAAACAAAACAAAAAACACCCAGCGGCCAGGGTTTGAGGCCTCCGAGACATTCTAGAAAGCCGGGCGCGACTGGCTCCTTGGAATCCGGCAGAGAGCTGGAAAGGGGGGTAGTTCCCGCCACCAGGGTGGGCGTCACCCACTGCCGCGCCCCCTACCACCGGGCCGACCACTGAGCGCAGGCACAGGCGGGGCCGCCCACGGCCGCTCTGCCCTCGGCGCTCCCGCCGGCCGGGACCCCGGACCCCGCAGGGCGGAGGCGGCCGCCCTCCGACCCTGGCCCACTCACGGCGTCGAAGACGGCAGCACCTTCGGACCGCGACCGGCCAGGCTCCCAGGCCTCGCGAGCCCGCCCCCCGCCCCGCCCCGCGCCCGTGCCGTCGGACCGGTCTCGGGGAGCCACTTCCGGGCCTCTCTAGGAAGGCCGGAGGTTTCGGCATCTCTATGATGTGCAGGTTTCACGTCCATCCTCGCCTGAGCTGGGCCGGTGGGTTTGCTCCAGGAATCTACCCTACGTACCCAGGCCGACTGTTCCAGCTTCAGGGTCACATCTACTTTTATTCCCACGTCCAATTTCTGCTTTTAGACTTCCGCCTCCGTCTTTGTGTACCCACAGTGCTGAGCACAGTGCCTGATAAATGCGTGTGTGTGTGTGTGTGTGGAGGGGGGCGGGTGTCTCAGCTCAATCAGTATTGCTTGGATAGATAGATGGGCAAAATCATCTAACACAAAGCCTGTTTTATAATAGAGTTTGAGTATCTTGTGTAATTTATCAAATACTGTATTGGAAGTGAAACACAGAATAGTTGTAAGTGGCTCAGTTGTTTATCCTTACGATAGCATGGTTGACTGGGAGCTTTCGCTTGCTGCTGCCACCCAGCATCATGAGAGAGGATCATCCTAAATATTGGTAGCCTGGGGAAAAGATCCAAATCCCAAATTCCAAATTCGAAGTGCAGTTTCTCCTGAAGGCACATTGCTTCCTCACCGTGGTAAAGTTGAAAAATCAAAAGTCGAACCATCCTAAGTCTTAGGTCAGGGGCCGTCTGTACTGATACATGCTACACCATGGATGAACCTAGAAAACATTGTGCTCATGTTTTTATTAGCCAGTTTCAGAAGCCAGTCAGGAAGGACCACATACTTCATGATTCCACTTATATGAAATGTCCAGAATAGGCAAATCCATAGAGACAGAAAGCAGATTGGTTGTGGGAATAGGGTTTCTTTCTACAGGGATGAAATGTGGTGATGATTGTATAGCTCTGTCAAGACTAACAATCACCGATTTGTAAATCACCCTTTCCATGCGTGGGTTTTACGATATATGAATTATATAGCTCTTAAAACTCTTATTTAAAAAAGATTAAACCATGGGACATCTGGGTGGCTCAGTCGGTTAAGCATCTGCCTTCAGCTCAGGTCATGATCCCGGGGTCCTGGGATCGAGCCCCGCATCGGGCTCCCTGCTCCGCAGAGAGCCTGCTTCTCCCTCTGCCCCTCCCCTGCTTGTGCTCTCTCTCTCTCTGACAAATAAATAAATAAAAGCTTAAAAAAAAAAAAGACTACACCTACAATAACGTTTGTCTCTTTGCAATTGCAATGTCATTTAAGTAGGAGAGAACAGGATGGCCAATCATCCTGGACATGCCCACAGAAGCATGCCTAGATCACAAAATCAATACACGTAAGAGTTTAGGAGCCGCTGCCTTCGAGAAATAAGCACACTTCTCCTGTCCACCGGCCCAGTATGAGAGCTTTGCCCCCAGGACTCTCCTCCCCCCTTCCTCTTTCTCAGGGCAAAGAGAAAAGAGTACAGAACATGAGCAAAAGCGGGGTTTGTATAATAAATGGCTTCCAATTAGCTGCATTGAAAACCGAGAGTCGACTTGTATTAATTTTCATGATCAAATTACTTCATTTTGTCTCTCTTCTAACTGCTAGGGTAATTTTATGCCAGGATTATTTGAGTCATTCTAATTATGCAGGCATCAATATTTAGTGGGTGTTTACCTAACCCACGGCATACCCAAAGGTGTTCCTCCCTCAGACAGCATGGCAGTACAATATAATATGAATAGGTACGCACGGTACAGAAATGAAGTTCCTCTTATTTCCCCCTCTCCGTTTGTAAGGAACATTCAGGTGGTGTTTCTTGAAAGAGCAACGTGTATCCTATTCAGCTGCATCTACAAAACTAAAGGCAATCCCGTGAGTGTGATGAGTTCCTTATATGATACTAAATGCAATTCTTGCACAGATGTTTCATTAGGGATTCAGTTATGCAAGACAAATTAAAATTTACCATTTGTTTAGATTTTCCTTTTTGTAAAACCCTTTCCTCGCTAGGTGCCTGGTATTTGAATTTCTGTCACGGACAGTATCACTCTCCCGCTTTTCCTCTGGGAGCCCTTCTCCTTTGACTAACACTCCCCTCTCTAAGCTCCTCTCTGTCTCTTCTTCCTCCTTCTCCTCCCCCTTCGTCCCCCTCCATCTCTCTTTGCCTCCTTTGATCTTTCTTCCCAGCCCAAGATTCAACCTCCAGCTTTCTTTCCTTCTCCATCTACATCCTTTGCCTGAAAGAACTCTCTAGTTATCTTGGTTCCAACTCTTAACCCTGCACGAGGGACTCACAGACATATAGGATCTTACCCCTGGGAGCTATTTATGGGGAAGCCCCCCTATCTGAACCTCACGTCCAGAGGTATGTATATTCCTTCTCTCCAGCAACACCCGGGATTGGCTGCGTCATTTTGACACTTCCTTCTTTTCCATCATTCTTGTGCCCATGTACTTTTGCCTGGCAAAGCGTCTCAGATTCATTCTCTCTTTCCATTGCTTCTGCTTCCTTTCCACTTTCCTGATGGCCTCCTAACAAGGGTAACACCCCAGAGCGTCAGAGCGTTAATCTTGGCTGGCCGAGGAGTGTGAATATGTCTTAGAGACAACCCATGTTGAGGCCAGGCCACAGAGCTCCCTCCTCACTCCCTTCCTCCCCTCCCAGGGTCTAAAAACCCCACTGCTTCCAGTCCTGTGCAGTAAGGCCAAGCTGAGAGAGAGCCCCAGGTGAGAGCGTAGGACACGAGATGGGGCAATGCCGGGCACCACATGGACCACAGGACTTGGGAATGTGGAAGGAGAGAGAGAAGAATGGGAGAGGCTCCTGCCTATCCATGGGGTGGCTCTGTGGAGTGGCCACTGTTCTTTCACCCACAGGCATCTTGTTTAACTAGGTGTACTCAGAGTTGGGCAAATCAAAACGGTTAATTCCAATACAAGTGCCATACTGTGGGTGTGTCATATTTTTGCTAAGACACTTTGACCAAGTGTCTTAAATATATTTTATGGCAACTTTGTAACCGATTTACCTCTTTCAACTGTGGAAGATATTCATCATATAACTGGCAAAGCCATTCCGCCTTGCCAAGTCAATCAGCCAAATCGAAGTATTTGAGTTCTTTCTGAGTTATATGCCCCCAATGATATTTAATGATCAGCTGTTAGGGGAAAAAATTTCATATTTCCTTTGTAAAAATATTTTATTTATTTATTTGAGAGAGAGGGAGAGAATGAGTGCACGAGGAAGGAGAAGGAGAAGCTGGCTCCCCACTGGCCTCACTGAGATGTGGAAGGCTGTGGTGAAGTGCTTCTGGAAGGTACTCGTTGGGAGTAGGCCCAGAGTGAGTTGTGAGCTGGTAACTCTGCAGGGTGAGGGAGGAGAAGTGGAAGGCCATGCCACAGTAAGGATACCTGTCATTGGACTTTGGGTCTGTCCTAATCCAGAATGATCTAATCTAAAGATCCTTAACTTCCTATCATAAAGATGGTGCCGAAGGTGAAGAAGGAAGCCTCTGCCCTCCCAAAGCCGAAGCCAGGGCAAAGGCTTGGAACGCCAAGAAAGCAGCGCTGAAAGGCATCCCCAGTCACACACACAGGAAAAAGTACTCGAATATCCTCATAAGAGCATCCCCAGGAGAGACAAGCTTGACCACTCTGCCATTATCAAGTTCTCCCTCACTCCTGAGTCAGCCATGAAGAAAACAGAAGACAATAGCACACGTGTGTTCATTATGGACATCAAGGCTTACAAGTTCCAGATCAAACAGCCTGTGAAGAAGCTCTAGGACACTGACGTGGCCAAGATCAACACCCTGATCAGGCCCAATGGAGAGAAGAAGGCATATGTTCAACTGGCTCCTGATGATAATGCTTTGGATGTTGCCAACAAATTTGGGATCACCCAAACTGAGGCCAACTGGCTGAATCGAAACATAAACTTTTTCACCATAAAAAAATAAAAAGTTTTTTTCTTAAAAAAAAAAAAAGATCCTTAATTACATTGGCAAACACACTTTTTCCAAATAATATCACATTCACAGATTCGTGGATTTGGGACATGGACCTATCTTTTGGGAGCCACTACCCACCCCACTACAGTGATGTACATGATTCTTCCATCCCTCCCTCTCTCCCAGGCCCAACTCTCA